CGCGACTACGAGGCGCGGGCGGCGGCGCTCGATGCCAAGCCGCACGTGCAGGCATGGAACAACGGCTCGAGGGACGCCGTTTCCTCCGTGCTGCGCTCGTTTGGCACCGTGCGCAGCCTCGTTGTCGGGGCCTACGCGGAGGCGTCGGACGACCTGCACCAGCTGTTCGACTGTGTGGTGGAGTCGGCATCCAAGCAGCACTGGAGGCGGATCGGCGCGCGTAGCGCGAAGGAGGCGCGGTCCTACTTCGCTACGACGCTGCGGCGGGCGTGGGGCGTGCACTTTGCGCGCGAGTTCGCGCGGCACCGCATCCGACGCGTGGTGTTCGTGGGGGCCCCGCGGCGACAGCCGGGCAGGCCTCTCGCGACGGCCGATGGAGACTGGCCAGCGCTGTCGGCGGGCGAGTTTGCGGCGCACGCGCTGCGCGTAGGCGGCGCGTGGGCGGGCGGCCCGCCCGGCCGTCGGTGAGCACCGGACGCGAGGGTCGGTCGGCTCTTAACTAGCTGTATATAGTCGCGATCTGCCGGCGTGCGTATGAGCTCACTAGCTAGAGCTCACACTAGAGGCCGTCATCGCATTCGCCTTCCTGGGACCCAGCGCTGACTTCTGACTGTCGTTGCTGTCTCTCCCCCTTCTCGACTGTCTGTGCTTGTGCGTCTTGGGTCCGGAGTTGTGCGTTTATGTGAAAAGAGAATTTGTTCTGCCAGGCGCCGGCCACAGGCCTCGGCCGGCTCCACACGCGTCCGACGCTTGCTCGGGATTTATTGTTTCCATCTAAGTGCTCGCGTAGCCGCTGCAGCAGGAACTGCAGTCGCAGTCGACGTCGCAGTCTCGCTTGGCCATAGGCAGAGCCTCGCTGGGAGATGGCGGTGCGAGATTTTGGGCAGAAAGTTGACGTCTGCCGGCGCATCAAGGAGGTTCTGAAGAATTATGAGGAGGGAAGCCTCTTGAAGGAGATGGTCCAGAACGCCGATGATGCAGGAGCGTCCGTGTTCGACGTCCTCCTCGACCTCCGGACCCATGGTTCGTCAGAGCTTGCGCTTCCCGGCACGGCGGCCTTTCAGGGTCCTGCGCTCGTGACGCACAACGACGCGGTCTTCGCAGACTCCGACCTGGAGAGCATTCAGCAGATTGGCGGCTCGCAGAAGGCCGGGTCGCGGTCCACCAAGACGGGGCGCTTTGGCGTCGGCTTCTGCTCTTGCTATCACGCTACCGACCTCCCTTCCTTCCTCTCTCGAGACTTTCTCGTGGTGCTCGACCCGCACTGCGCGCACGTCTCCGACAA